GCCGAGCGGCCGCCCGGCTCGGCCGCGGCTGCCGCGGGGACGGCAGCGCCCAGCCAGGCCAGGGCCAGCGCCAGCCGCCACATCCCGCCGCGGTCGCCGGGACAACGGCCGCTTCCGCCGCGCCGCTTCCGCCGCGGACGTGCGCGGCTCCGCGCACTGGGCGGGAAAGGCTCCACTGCCGCCATCTTGTAGGGGCGGAGCTGCCGCCATCTTGTGGGGCGGGGCGGCGGCTGCGAGAAAACGCCTGCCTTAAATATAAATATAAATATAAATATAAATATAAATATAAATATAAATATAAATATAAATATAAATATAAATATAAATATAAAACTTTAGTCATTGCTGCGAGTTAGGGAGCAATTCTTCAAATTTGCCTGTCAGGAAAGTTCCAGGGACGGGCGGCTGCTTTTCCTGCCACTGCAGGGCACGGCGGTTCCGAATCGCGCCCCAGGCAGCGGCGGGAGTGGGGTAGCCAGGACAGTGCAGCCACCCTCACTGCAGGTGTGGGTGGAACAACGTCAGWAATGCCCTTTGGGTAGAAACATTGTCCCCATGGGAATATCGGGAAAATACCACAGGCGAGGCAGGAAAATAAAAAAATTAATTGGAGGCCTCAGTCACTACCAGTTACTAAAAACAATGTTTACAGACACAGGCCCTGAGGACACTATACTGGTACTAGCGCTATCCTAATAACCACCTGGTAATGTGGGGTCTTTCGTGCTCCTGGAGCATCAACTTTAGGGCTGATGTAAACCGATCCAGGTGCCACTGCCTGGCACCAAGGGCAGCGTCGCCCGCGGCCTTGGCGGGATGCCGCGAGGGGCTGTTTTTAAGGCACACTGGGTGATTCCCGCCCGGAGCTGGGTTTATTTTAGCATCGTGGCGCTGCTGCGGGCGCTTGCTGTGAGGAGCTCCGGGAGCAGCCGTGCAATTTTGTGACYTCCTAACTCGATGTCAAAGAAACCTAGACTCGTACAGACTGAACCACTTGCCGACTTGTTTTGACATCGGCCACGTTTTCAGTGGCCCCTCAAGTCTAAATTTAAACATCCAGACAGCCTGAAATAGGGGGTAAAAGCCATTTAACTACAACCATTTTTTGTTTTAATATCTAAAAAGAAAGCACAAGCTCTTCCACGTGAACATATCAACCACAGCTCCCAAGATGATAGGCAAGATAAATATTCTGGTATTTCTTTCTAGGAAAAAAATAGATCATTCTTGTCACAGCATTACTTACTTGCTGTCAGTCTAAAATTCAGGCTCGAGGGTGGACTAGTTGGACCATGTTGAGTATCACTACACTCCTTCAGCTGCTAGCGCCTTGCTCCCCTTTTAACTGTGTTCCTTGAAACTGTCAGCAACAAACAGGAGATCTGCATCTGTCAGGAGGTGAATGAGCATTACAAATTAGGCGAGGGGAATTACATATTATGTAAAAAGCAAGGCACTGTACATATAAATCCTTATAAATATGGATGTCAAAGGGCTTTATTACAGAAATGCGTTTTTTGGTTTTACTAGGGAACACTTATGCAACTATCCCTCCTCAGAATGCACATTCCTTTGCTTGCAAAAAATATCCTGCTCCAAGTCCAATTTGCATTTGTATTAATATAGGAGCCAGGATAGCCTAAGGATGTGACATAGGCAAGATGTGCACTTAAGAGAGAGAATATTTAATTAGACCTATTGATATGGACCCAGTGAAAACACTTGAAAGCAAATGCACGTAAGGAATCCAAGTTTGTACAGACTAGTCGGAGACAACTCCCCCATTCCAGCTGTATTTATCTTTTCAAATTTGGCCAAAGTGGCGTATTCAATTTTAAAACATTTTTTTCTTTCCATCTCCCAGGCACGGGCTGCGCGTGGTTCCCACTCTTGKCTCCTTGTCATCAGACTCCCAATTCTTTCCCCAACCAGAGCCCTGGATGGTGTTAGATTCCCAACACAAGTGATGATATTTCAAACCTTAAAAATAACACACAGTCTTCTGGCAACATACCCACATCTGAGACACTTCTGTGGATCTAATCCAAACAAATACTCTTCCTAGCTTAACAGAAAACAAAAGGTTTATAGAGCATTGCATTTTTTTGGTCACCATATAAAAGTAATGCACTAATGATGGAGATATTAACACCCTATAATTATAGATACTCGRGCTGTATCATACTAAGTTGCAACAAATGTACTTTCCCAGTAATTATATATTACTGACAAGGCAGAATAATTTATTACTATGCCTACTAGTTCTGTTACAAAAGTGTTTTCAGGGGCTCACATTTTTTTTTTAAATACCAAATGGCTGTTTTCAAAAAATGCCTACTAGGCTTTTTTTTTTTTTTTAATTATTATTATCTACTTAATCTGGGAGGCCTTGGAAAGAACTCTGTTAGGGAAGGGTATGAAATTTAACAGAGAGCAGGATTTAGTTTAAAATGAGCATTTTGTGGCAGCCATGAATAACCACCAGCGTTCAGTGGTCATTTGTGCGTCTTAGGTTTCAGCTGCTGATTTCCTTCAAAATTTCCAACGCACCAGGGAAGCTCCTTCAGGGGCCGCACACTCAGAACATGGTCTATAAATAAATAAAGGGATAAATAAATAAATAAAGGAATAAATAAATAAATGTGCTGGCRATAGCACAGAGACTAGGTGGATGAAAATGTGATTTAAGTGTTCATGTCCCAAGTCACAGGTTGAGGTTGGCCAGGCAAGGTTAACTTACATCTACATCTGGGATGCTTAAATTGGCAATCTTTGTGTTCTCTTGCATGGCTGCAGCTAAATATTTGTATTTAAAAATATGACCACTTTAAGCAGTAAATTCACATGTTAGCATTGTGCATATCACACAGGCCCACTCTAAATAATCAAATTCACACTAATTATTACCGTGATTTTTTTTTTTCACTAATTAGAACAAGCTTTTGTGGCATAAAAAAAGGAAAACATGAAAGGCGAGAAGATTTATCTGCCTCAGATCATTTCAACAACACTTAGCAATTCCGCAACTTTTTTTTCAACTTCAAAGTATTTTCACGTTGTTAACTAATGATTCCTTGCAGCGACGCTGCAAGATAAGCAGATAGTTTTGCCAGATTTGTCCTGACGTGAAAAACGAGCCTTGGCCGTTGCTGGGCCGCGCGGGGAGGCTGGGCGGGAGGCAGCTGCGAACGCGGGACCTTCTGGGCTGCCAATCCTGCAGGGTCAGGCCACTCCTCGCTCTTAATGTTAAACAATAAACACAGAGCCCTGGGCAGAGCCCTGATCAAAACAGCAAGGCGGCAGGCCCGCCAGGCAATCCTTTACTTAAAGCGTTGCAGCTTGAAGTGGTAACTGTCAAGAGTAATTTCCATTTGTCTTCGTAGGGAAAGAAACTGAGGACCCAGCATATTTAGCAGGTATAATTTCACACACATTAAGATATCCTAGAGACAGGTACTCCACAAAAGCTTAAGGAAACGCCAGTGCTGCTGCAGAGAAAGCCCCGGTGTCTCATCACGCAGATAAATAAAACTTCATTAGAACGGAGGACACTACTGCCGTAAAAACTCCTTGAAGATGTCCCCGCTAGCAGAGCTAATGCTCCAGCACTGCTGTAAGCCATGTCAAAAAGCTGTCAGTCTCAGGCTCTGGGCATGAATAAATCATGCAGCAGTTCTGTCACCTGAAACTCTGCACAATACTTTCCAATTTTATTGTTCATTATGTGGCAGAGAACACGGCAGCCTCACAAGGCAAGACTAAAGCAGCTTCCAGCCCCCTTGAAAACCCTGCATCATCCTATAAGTGACTTAATATCCATCATTTACGGCTTCCTTAAAACTAAGAAAATAAACCTTTTTTTCCCCCCTAAGAAACCACATCCAGGAACTAAGTGGATGTTGGACCAGAACGTGGCATACTGTGGTCCACTTTTAAAAATATCCAGTCATTCTTAAAGCCAAACATCCAGAACCACCAAAACAGTTGCTATCAATGCAACCTGACATCAGATAACTTCTTTTTTTTTGGGTAAAAAACACTTAAAGTCTGTACAGTAACTAAAATAGCATCTAAAATGATTCATACCTGTCCTTATTCAGGATCTTTGAAATATATGGCAGGGAAAAGGGGTGGTGCTGGCGAGCCAGGACGGAGCAGGGCTGGCAGCTCGCCATTTCATTTTCAATACACATTTTAATACATACATTTTCAATACACATTTTAAGACATAATTTAAAATATATCAAAAAAAAAAAGCGAGGGGGAAAAAGAGAGTTAGGTTTTAAAGTATTAACTTTATTAATAAATATACATCCATATGATGATGTAAATACAGATCATGAACACTACTCCATTCCCATACACATAATTGCACACGAGTAGCTCAAGTTCATGGACATAAAAACATACACAGTATCTAATCAGGCTTTTTACAGCAGAGGACAGGGTGCTGATACTAGTTATTTAACAGATTACTGTTTCCCCCAAAGTAAACCTGTGGAAAAGCAAACGGTGAAAGATTAAAGAATCACAAAGTGGTTCAATTCTGAGAATACAGATTTACCTATTTGAAAAAAAAATCATTAAGGAAAAAGGTCTAGTCTCTACAAGAATCATAAATATATTATAGCAGTGTTAAAATATATGCATTAAAATAGAGAAGAATAAACGTCTTTTGGGGTCAGAAATGAAGCCTAAAGTTTGCAGTACGATTATTATCAACTGTTTCAACTGTCACTCTAGGGATAGCATGAAACTTTTATTATACAAATGACAAAGAATAG